AATATTTTATTACTACTCTTAATAAAATTAATTTAAATTTGATTATATTTTTATTTAACTTCATTTCTTTATATTTATCCCCAACATGAAGAGAATTTCCCATTAATTATTAAGATCACTTTGCGTGGTTCAAATGAGGACTGCCTGTGTTGTAGATCACAAAAGATAAAAAGATTAAACTCCCAAAGCTTTTGACAATCTGTTCTTCTCCATGGCAAGCCATTGTTATGTAATTTGAATCCAAAAGAGATGTGTTGAATTGTTTCTATTGGTATTTTACTAGCTTGGGTAGATTTTGCCCCCTCATCAACCCCGGCACCTGGCAACACAGATCCTGTGCTCATCATCCTTGGCTGCATTTGTGGATTGGTTTTGATTGGGTTGATTTTCTATATATCTCTGGCCATCAGAAAAAGAGCCCAGGAAACAAGATTTGGGTAAGTTAAAAAATGTTTTTGCCCAGTGGTATGCCAAGTGATAATAATACCTTTCCTGTTGGCCCAGCACCTCACATTGCACCCAGATGGTAGCCCTGTCTTATGCAAGCCTTGGAGTCAGGGATTTTGTTTAATTAGGCAGATGCCTACAAGGTAGCCAGTGGAGAAAGCCAGTCCTAAAAAACTGCTTTTACGGAGATCAGTAGCCCTTCATTACTCAAGCTAGGTTGCTGTTAAGTGAAGATTTTTATTAGAAGTTTTAAAATGATCCCGATTACTTAAAAAAGAAAGAAAAGAAAGAGACAGATCAAAATATTATAAGGAAATTCACCAAAGCATTAGCAACTCTGATTGATATAACTTTGGGTGATTTTGTTTTCATTTTTCCTATGTTTTACATATTTTCTGTAATGATCAGTTATTTTTTGAATAGTGAAAAACACTGTGTTCAAAAATTAAAATTAAAATTAAAAAGCTATTCTTCTTTTCTGTATTTCTTCTGTAACAGAACACTAGTTAAATATCAACAAAAATAAGACATTATGTTAAAGCAGCCTGTGAAAATGAAGCTGTGTGTGTAAATGTTGTTCTGCAACTCATTTTTTGACTTTGTAGAGTTCTGCAGCTAGTTCAGATTTCCATGAAATTAGTTCATCACTCATGAAACAGGAAGAAGTGTTTTGTAAGAGGCAGGTTGACAGCTTGGAATGGGGCAGTGTGTGGGGAAGGTGGCTATGTCTCGGAGGGGGCTGAGCTGCTCTCTTTCATTGCTCCACCTTAAGAATGCTCTTTGGTTAGAACTCTAAGACCTCCCATGGACAGGGGGAGGGGGGCTTAAGAGTGTCCATCCTAGTCTTGGGATCAGTTACCCTCAATACTTACAACTCTATCTTTGTGATTTATTATATCTAAATTCTATGTAGGACAATTTAAAAGAAATGGACAAAATCTAACCTAAGTGCTGACCATAGAATTCACTAGAATACATCCCAGAAATGTCAAGCCATTTATATGAAAGTTTGAGTGTGGCATATGGGCTAATGATGAACAAATACAGAGAACTTCTGAAGAAGTTGGCAGAGTAGCTCTTTGCTACTAGGTGCCAGGCACTGTGCAGTAGCCTGGAATACAACGGTGAACAGAAGTAGGCACTGCTCCAGCCCTCGTGGGCTCGCAGTTAACAGGCAAGTCAAGCAGTAATCAGGCACACAAATATATGTGAAATGGCCACTGTGGTAAGTTCTACAAAGGGGTCTCAAAAGAGTGTACGGTACAAATGAGAGAATTTATACTAAGCAGGTATTAACTAGGTAAGGGAGAAGAGGAAGAGTGTCCCATCCAGAAAAAGTAGCACATATAAAATTGTGGTGACAGGGAGCTTGGCATACAGAGGGGAGAACCTGGGGCTGCAAAAACACAAGAGTCATTAAGCTGACCAGAGGCTTAAAACGGGTGAAAGGCAGATCATAGGTTGCATTTTTTTTTTAAATCTGTTTACTGAAGTTTGTTCCCATGGATCCTCCTTATAAAACCCTGGGGTGATACCTTTTATTAGTTCATTTTTAAATAGGAATAGCTTTATTTTCTACTTATGAAATTACAGAAAGTCAAGCTCATCTATAGCCCCACAACTCACACATGGCCTCAGTCATTCTTTTAGCTAATATACTTCTAGATCCTTTGCTCTGCATATGTATATATTATTTTCAAAACTATATTTTCTCATTTAAAATAATCTAAACCCAAGATAAAGTGATTATAAATCTATAATGTAGACTCACTAACTTCAAAATAGGAACTCTGGTAGCATAGTGCATAAGGCACTTGACTGCTAACCAGAAGGCTGGCGGTTCAAATCCACCAGCCACTCCTCGGAAGGAAGATGGGGCAATCTACTTCCGTAGTGATACTGCCTCGGAAAACCAAAGAGGGGTTGCTATGAGTCAGGTCTGACTCGACGGCAAATAACAACTCTAAAACAGTGACAAGATGTACTCTGACTCATCAGTTATTCTCTGCCTCTGATGGTACTCAGAGAGAGTTGTTTTGGTATTGCTGGGTAAGCCAAAACCAAATCTAAGGAAAGAAAACATATTTCTTCTAATGGGAAATGGTCTTGTTAAAGAAAAGACACTTGAAAGGTAGCATCTTCCTTTTTGCAGCCTCCCTTATGGAATCATCATCTATCTCTGTTGCCCTGTTTTTATGATGTGAGATGTCTTTGTTTTCATTCTCCCAGGAACATATTCACAGAGGAGGATTCTGAATTAGTTGTAAATTATATAGCAAAGAAGTCCTTCTGTCGGCGAGCCGTGGAGCTCACTTGTAAGTTGGCTTTCATTTCCTTTTTGGGAAAGGTCAAAGTATTTGAGAGCAAGAAACAACAAACCATTTGACAGATTTCTAGCAGAAGTCTAAGGATGGATATTTTTAATGTACAAAATGTCTTCAACAACTAGCAAATAGATAGACAGACACTGCCTTGGGCATCCCTTCTGGCTAGTTTACTGGAAGTCTGGAACTGTACTCATAATACCACAAGACACGGAGGGAAAAAGGAACCCTCTGGGATGACAGGAGAAGGTGTAGGTAAAGGATTAGGATTTAAAGAAAATAGCAAAGCAACTGACGTATCTCAGCCTCATTTCCTCTGTTTTGGAACAATTTGCTGATAAAGCAATTTGTAGCAACTAATGGTTTGAGCTTTGCTGAATCAGAGTGTGACCTTCTAGTTTGAAGAGTGGGACTAAACAGATAATCATGTTCTTGAATAATTTCAGAAACAGTATATAGAAAGTATGTGTAAATATTATTAAATTTATGCTTCTGAATGTTTATCTCCCTTCACTGCCAAAAAACAAAAACAAACATAAGCATGATGAAGTATAAGTTTCCATGAAATAAAAATTTACTTGATGTAGAATGTAATTCATTTCCTTACTCTGCTAATGATCTAGAAGTTTTGACTTTTAAATGTCTGTGGTCTGATATTTAAAAAAAAAAAACTTCACTTAGACCTATTTCTTTCTTTCTTGGAGATAAGAAAAGACCATTTGGGTAAAATTTTTTCTTTAGGAGCCAAAGTGCCCTTTCTAATTATCCAAGGTCTTATGGTGACACAAATGGTTCTAATTAGCCACATTTTTTTCTTTTAAAGACTTGCTCATGTCTTAACTATGGGTCAAATGGAATCATTTGCCAAGTAGTTCTTGGTCTTTCATTCTCTTGCAGTCAGTTCCTTTTACTGACAATGCTTATTGTCAGTGTTTTACATCAACACCTTATTATAAAAGATTATTCTCCAGTTCCTCATCTTGAATTTCTCTATCACTGTAATTAGGTTTTATATACATATGTAGGAGTTCCCGAGTGGTGTGAAAGGCTAAACACTCAACTAGCCAAAAGGTTGGCAGTTTCAACTCACCCAGAGGCAGGCAGCTCAGGAGATGGGCCTAGTGATCTGCTTTTGAAAGGTCAAACCCTATAGAGCAGTTCTGCTCTGCAACACATAGGGTCACCACGAGTCGGGATCAGCTCGACAGCACACAACAATATACCATGTGTCAAACAGCAGCTAGCTCTCTAAACGTTTCCTGTGGTTTATGTGCCTCCTTCCCTGGCATGGGAGGACAGGGGGAAGTGTCCTCATCGTTCTTTTGTACAATGTAGTTAGGGACAAAAAGTACTTATTGACTTCTCTTCCCTACTCCTTTATGTCAAGGAGAAACCTTCCTTTTAAGAATCTGATTGCTGACTGCTGCTGCTGCTATACAATGAGAAGATAACTGTGGTTCTGATCTTAATAATCCTTCAGAAATAAACTTGCCCTGAAAGATTCATTTTACTGGGTTTAATCATAATGGAATTAAGTACGTTGTTGTTGTTGTTGTTATGTGCTGTCGAGTTGGACCCGACTCATAGCGACCCCTCCTTGGGTTTCTGAGGCAGTATCACTATGGAAGTAGATTGCCCCATCTTTCTTCCGAGGAGTGGCTGGTGGGTTTGAACCGCCAGCTTTCTGGTTAGCAGTCAAGTGCCTTAGACACTACACTACCAGAGCTCCTGGAATAAGTATAGTATACGTTTTGGTGGAGAAATAATGGGTACAAAATGGAAAAAAAAAAAGTTTAATTATTTTATAGGACTTTAAATATAATTTTAAGTATATTTATATGAAAGAAAGCATATTGACAGCTCTTATACATACTGTTACTCCTTTTATAGTACAGAGCTTGGGTGTCAGCGAGGCACTGCAAAATAAGCTGGAAGATGTTGTGATTGACAGAAGTCTTTTGGTTCTTGGAAAAATTCTGGGTGAAGGTAAGCAATTTTGAGAAATTCTTTTAAAATATGTGTTTACTTCTTAAATAAAGCACCATTTTTTGTGACTGAGTTATGATACAGAGTTGCTTTATAAACTAGATAGTGATTTTTTTATTATTAATTTTTTTTAATTGTCATTTGAGTGTAAGTTTATAGAGCAAATCCACTTTCCATACAGCAGTTTACATACACTTTGTCTCGTGACATTGACTACAATTTCCCACAATGCAACAGTTCCCCTTGCACTTCCTCCCCATAGTTACCTCTTCCCTGTGTCCTTCCCTCCATGCACCCCTGCTCCCTGAGCTATGTCCTTATGTATACACAGCCCTTCTGTTCTCCCATGATTGTTCTTTCCAAGGAATGTATCTGCCTAATGTAACAGTAGAGATTTTTGAAACTCAGATTTGACATATGAAAAGGGCCTCATACATGAAGTAGGCCTGTGAAAAATATTAATTCCTTTGTTTCGTAAAAGCATGCAATCCTTTGGCCTATTTCCTTTGTACTTTAAACTTACTCCTCTAATTCTTAAATTTATTTTTTTTGGCACATTCTTGATAACTAGGAACAAAGGTGAAAATACATATTTGTTAAATTGATCTTGGATGAATGATAATGGTATTAAGAGTGTATGCTTTATAAACTTCCATAATGTTTTCCATGTTATCCTGTAAACCTCTTGGTTTGGTTATCATGCTTAATGAAGTGATGACCTCAGTTAAATCTGAGCCAACTAAGTTCAGATTTAACTGGAGGCCAGTGCATGGGATGTGTCCCTGGTATATAGTGTAGGTGGCCCAGCAGGCCCAGCCCAGCTAGCTGTGCATTGATCACTATCCGACCACATGAAAACAAGAGCTCTGGCATTTCTGTGGTCTGGGGAGATTTTGGGCAAGGTCAATATAGATGTTGTTTTATTTCACAGGAGAATTTGGGTCTGTCATGGAAGGAAATCTTAATCAGCAAAATGGGACCTCTCAGAAAGTAGCGGTGAAGACCATGAAGTGTGAGTTATCACTGATTAAAATCATTCTTCTGGGTGTAGAGGGCTGATGCTTCAGTTTTGAGTGTTCCATAAATCCAGAGATGGCATTCATATGTCATGATCTCAGTCACTAGTGGGTCAGTAGGATGTCAAGTACACCCTAGTCACAGAGGGAAAATTACTTTAATGAACTCTTCATACCTGTGTTATATATTTTTTACACTCAAGGCAATAGCATTGGTTACTTTTACTATTTGTATCATCTATCTATATGTATATCTACCCATCTACCTATCTATTTGTCTATCTATGGAGATGCTGGTAGTTCAACAGAATCCTCTCCTTTCATGTGGGAGACCTGAGTGTGATTTGTGGCCAATGAACCTCATGTGCAGCCACCATTTGTCTGTCACTGGAGGCTTGTGTGATGTTGAACAAGTTTCAGCAGAGCTTCCAGACTAAGAGACTAGGAAGAAAGAGCTGGTAATCTACTTCCAAAAATCAGCCAGTGGAAACCCTGTGGATCACAATGGTTTGACCCACAACTGATCATAGGTATGGCACAGGGGCAGCATTTTGTTCTACTGTGCATGGGGTCACCATGAGTCAAGGCCAACTCAATGATAGCTAATACGTCCATCCATCCATCTATCAATCATCTAGTAGAGCTGATGACTCCAAAGTTAGGCATAAATTACTGAGGCAAGGGTGACCTGCTAACAACATCTGACTCCAGGGGTTAGTCTGGCTAACTCAGTGGGGCCCTTTCCCCATTGTTGCATGGCCCTAGCAAAGCTATGAGCTGCCTGGAAGGTGAGCTTCTCAAAGAGAAGAAAAGTATTATCCAGTCAAAGGCATATGGAGAGCTGTGATCACAAGCTAGAACCTCCAAGCAAGCTGGAAAGAGAGCCAGCATCCTAGTAAGGAAGAACCTTGTTAGCCATAACAAAGAGTCTGATTTTATCCTGCAAGGAGTAGAGCGCTACAAAAGGTCTTACACAAATGAAGAACAAGAGCAGATTATATTCTGGAAAGTTCACTTTGGTGCCAGTGAGGAGAAGAACATATTTCAGCATTCACAAAAATAGTGGCAGATACCAGATAGGACATTGTAGAATCTGTATAGGTATCTATACAGACAAGGAAACTAAGGGTTAGAGACATGGTGGCTTGTCTAAGTCAAATAGCCAGAAAGGGGGAAGGGTGTGCATGACATTTTCATCACCATAAAATGACCAGGCAGCAGTAGCACGGAACACAACAGCATTTCCCGCCATGTCTTTTTCCTGGGAAGTGCATGTCCAGGGTCTGGGGCTACCCCACTGTCTAAGTTTGATTCTTCAGGTGTCCAGCTAGTTACAGCCTATCACCTGGGGACCTATAAAATGTGATCATGTAGATTTTACCTGCATTTTGTACCACGGTTCATGTAGATTAAGGTTATTTGTTGCTCAGTTTGATAATATTTTTACTGTTGCTACTTTGGGAGCTCCAGTAGCATAGTGCCTAAGGCACTTGAGTGCTAACCAGAAGGCTGGCGGTTCAAACCCACCAGCCACTCCTTGGAAGGAAGGTTGGGCAATCTACTTCTGTAGTGATACTGCCTGGCAAACCCAAGGAGGGGTTGCTATGAGTCAGGGCCAACTCGGCGACATATAACAACAACAACATTGCTACTTCATTAACCCCCTATATATGTTCAACACAAGTTTTGATAAAACCAAAACCAAACCCACTGCTATTGACTTTATTCAATATTGATTCATATCATTGACTGATAGCGACCCCCTTAGGGTTTCCAAGGCTGTAAATCTATCCAGAAGCAGACTGTCTCATCTTTCTCCCACAGAGCAACTGGTGGGTTCTTTTGTTTAGCAACCCAATACCTTAACCAAAGCACCTTAGTTTTAATAAAGGAGTAAAGTAAAATTAATCTCTTCCTAAAATTTAAATCTACTGTTTACTGGAAAATAAAACAGGAATTAGATTATAAGCATATATTGAGACTCTTTAACCAAAATGAGAGGCTGATGTTTTCATTCAGTTATAAAAAGCATTCATAATAACCAAGTCATATGGGTCAGTGCTTTTCACTTTTTAAAGCTTTTTATGTATTCTATAATGCTAATATTAATATAGGAGCTCTGGTAGCATAGTGGCTAAAGCACTTGCCTGCTAACCAGAAGGCTGGCGGTTCAAACCCACCAGCCACTCCTCGGAAGGAAGGTTGGGCAATCCTACTTCCATAGTGATACTGCCTCGGAAACCCAAGGAGGGGTCGCTATGAGTCGGGTTTGACTCGACGGCACATAACAACAACAACAACAATATTAATATAATACTCACTGTGTGCCAAGGACATTGTGATTATTCCTGCATTTTTTTCTGTACAATAGTCCTAGGAAGTAGGTACAAGTATTAGCCCTCAAAAACCAAGGCGCCATGAAGTTACAATACTCATCTGAGCTGAACTCAGAAAGTGCAAAGCCCGTGTATGTGGGGAGAGTCCTTCTTTACCCCCACTTTACAGATTATAAAGGTAGAGGTTTAAGAGGCCTAGTATAAAGAGCTGGGCCTGGACCCTGCTTCTTCTCTGACCTTGGCTCTGCTATTCTTCAACTCAATTAGAATAATCTGTTTGTGAATGACACATATACAAATGAGTGTGCAATTCATATAAAACATACATTAATGTGTATATATGTCATTCCTACACAGATTATTCTAATTCAGGAACTCTGGTGGTATAGTGGTTAAAGCATTTTGCTGCTAACCAGAAGGTCAGTAGTTTGAACCCACCAGCAGCTCCACAAGAGAAAGATGAGGCAATCTGCTTCCTTAAAGATTTACACTCTTAGAAACGCTCCAAGGGTAGTTCTACTTTGTCCTATAGGTTTGCTATGAGTTGGAGTCTACTCAATGGCAATGGGTTTTTGGTTTTGGTTTTCTTTTGGTATATGAATTATATACATGCTAATTATTCATGCTGTACCACCTGTCATTTTTCATACTACAGTGGCTTGTGTGTTGCCTGGATGCTGGAGGGAATGCTAATTGGTATTCCAAATACCAGCAGGGTCACCTAGTGGGCAGGTTTCAGCAGAGCTTCCAGACTAAGACACACTAGGAAGAAAAGTCTGGCAATCTACTTCTGAAAATTAGTCAATGAAGACCTTTTGGCTCACAACAGAAAACTGACTGATATCGTGCAGGGAGATGAGCTCCATAGGATGGAAGCCACTCAGAATACACAGTGGATGCAACAGTAGACTCAAGCGTATCAACAATTGTGAAGATGGAACAGGCCCAGACAACATTTTGCTCTGTTGTCCATAAGGTCTCTGAGTTGCCAACTTGAGGGCAACTAACAACAACAATAATTATCAATAATTGAAAGAATAGTCCCTGGCCTCAAAATTTTAAAGTATATCTACATTTGCCTGGAACTCAGTCTCTTGGGAAGGGTTTGCAGGCAGGTTCCTATCCCTTCTGTCCCACCTGCCTACCTGGTTGTGTCAAAGGAACAAAGTTGGCAGACATTTTGCAGGCCTATAGAATCTTAAATCTCTCTCTCAGGTTGATTTAATTCCAAACATTTGGTATGAATGTACATCCCACTCACAAGATGTGATTGAGCAACCAGAGCTATAGGACGCATGCTGATAAAAAGAGAGATATGTGATATTCTTTCTTGTATAAAAAGCAAAAAAAAAAAAAAAACTACAATAGGTCAGTTGGAATTTATTTTAGTTTTAGAGAACAGAATTGATATTGTGTCCCACCCCCACCCCTGATAAATTATTCGTGTCTAATGTTTACCATCTTTTCCTTTAGTGGACAACTTTTCACAGCGAGAGATTGAGGAGTTTCTCAGTGAAGCAGCGTGCATGAAAGACTTCGACCACCCAAACGTCATTAGACTTCTAGGTATTGAGGAGAAATGCTGGGTTGGGTTGCCAGAGGGGCACAGCTAATCCAGTCTGTGCCAAAGGAAAAAAATCAGTGATGCAGATAAATTTACCTTTATGTAACCCCAAAGTAATTTATTACACTGTAGTTTTCACCCAGCGGATTTATCCTTACAGTTACATTTTCTGAGACTGGTAGTAAAAGTGGATTTACATTTACAGATGGGCTGAGGCATGATTAGAGTGTCCACAGCGTTCTAGATGACTGTGGGTTGAAATTGCCCCCTGTTACTCAAAGGCAAGAAATGAGAGTTGATCATGTCATAATTCTTATTGATTTAAGATTATGCGTGAGACAAGTATCAGTGGGGTTTAAAGCCACAAAAGTAGTCAAATTCTATAGTCATCTTTTTAAAAACAAATTAATTTAAAATACTGATTTCTTATGCTCAGGATACATTGATGATTTCATGGAACATAATTTAATAATTACACTTTAGTTTTAGAACTTCATTTGCTAAAAAATATAAAAGATAAAATCAGGTATAGAGTGGGTACTGTGTAGGTGACAATATTCCAAGAGGGAAGGGCATCCCTAGAAATACAGATATGTGTCACTTAATATCTGTTTGGGCAACATCCCACCATATAGATGTCTGTGGTCCCATAAGTTTATAATAGAGTTCAGAAATTCCAATCAGAGAATGGGATGTGGTGTACGTACCTAGAAATAGTGATGTAATCAGAGATAATGAACGCAACAACTTCTGCACATGTATATCTCATGTCTCTTGTATACAAAGTGATTGTGCTGTCAGGCATCTAAGAGTACAGTACATACAGAACCTATAATGCATATGTCTTGAGAGCCATAATAAATGCTTGTTACTGGCTTGTGTATGTACTTTATTGTACTCTCTATTGTTATTTTAATGTGAACTTTCCCTACATACAAATAAAAAGCTTACTGTATAACAGTATATGCTTTGACTCTTAGGCAGCAGCATCCAATCTCACATATCAGGCATCTCTTGAATTTTGTAGCATTATCTAGCTGTTTAAGTTTCTTTTGAAAATATTACCATGAAGTATATCATGGCTCCCAAACACAACAAAACCGGTACTGCTGAAAGCAACAGCAAGGGGCAAAGGAGAAGTATCGATTTGAAGTGAAAAAAAATGATTTAACACCACAAGGAAGAAAATCAGTGAATGCTTTTGCTTGTGGTTTAGGCATATCTGCTAAGTATATCATATCACATGGTGTTCGCAGTGTCCAAATCAACATAACGTCCCATTTCACGGCACATATTGTGAACGTTAAACAACACATACCTATAATTGCCTTTTCTACTGATCTCTTTTTTGCTATCCTATGACTTGCTCTTTGTAATTTGCTCTTTTTTTTTTTTTTTTCTTTTAACTTTCAGGTGTATGTATAGAAATGAGTTCCCAAGGCATCCCAAAGCCAATGGTTATTTTGCCCTTCATGAAATATGGGGATCTACATACCTACCTACTTTGTGATCTTTCAAAGTTTCTTATGATTGAAAACTAATGTTTAGATACAACATTATATCAAAGAAACTAATGTTACTCATTTGCAACTATTGACTTTCGTAGCCTAGAAGAATAAATGCACTTTGTAATGTCACAACAACGTATAAGTATTTTGCAAGCCTAGAATCAGGTAGCAAATCTTAATTCTAGAATCCCATGATACATAGTGTTACAGCTTTGCCTGAATATAACTGTTAAAATTTAGGGATGTGGATTGTTACCTGTAAGCCCTCACAATTATTTTTTTAATTTAAGCATCTGTTTGCAGTAGACTTTTTCATATGACTAAGTATTTAACTATCACATGCAACTCGTTTACCCTTGATTCCTAATGCAATCACTACCCTTCACTTCAATTCAATATAACAGAAAAATGCATCGGCTTTTAGATGCCTAAATTAGTTGCAGATTTTTTTTTTTTTTTTTTTTTTGAGAACTCTCATGCAAAGATTGGCACTACTCTGGGGAGAAAAAAAAAACAAGACAACCTTTGTATGTTCCAAATTTTAGGACACACTGTGTGAGTTATATGAGCTTTTATTTTTCTAAACGGTTAACTTGGGAGCACATGGTTTTAATTTGGCCAGCCTTCTTCCTGTGTTTTCTTCTGGTAGTACTTAACAAGGGCTCTTTGTAATTTGCTTTTTTTTTTTTTTTTTCTTTTAACTTTCAGGTGTATGTATAGAAATGAGTTCCCAAGGCATCCCAAAGCCAATGGTTATTTTGCCCTTCATGAAATATGGGGATCTACATACCTACCTACTTTATTCCCGACTGGATACAGGACCAAAGGTAATAGCCCAGTTGTATTGCCTCTGAACTCTTCTCAGGACTTTTGTGACTGACAGGGCACCAGACCACCTACTGTCTAGTCTTAAAAATAAAGGAGAGGAGGAGGGGACATTGGCTTTTATCCAACACTCACTGTGTGCTGAGGGATTGAAACATACTATCTAGCCTCACAATAGGCCTGCTCATAGGTATTATTATCCCCATTTTATAAGGGAAAGAAAGAGGATGGGAACATAATCTCATGGCTACACACTCCCCAGAGCTCATAGACATTGGAAGGCCATTAAAGAGAGCGTTTCTAAAAGAAATTTTCTAGTGCTCCTTCTGGGTTTCGTGAGACTCTCTATCCTTTGAAGAATTTTGTTTATTCTTTATGAACAAATTTTTTTTTATATATATAGTCTCAATCTATTAAGATGAGTCACAGTCAAATATGGTCTGCAAATGGTGCCACACAACTGAAGTTAAATATTTTTAAAATCTTTGTAATATTTGACTCCTATCTTAGTTTCCTGCTACTATAACAACAATAACAACAAAAATACAGTAAGTGGTTATCGCTAAAGAACAGAAGTTTCTTTCGTCACCATTTTGGAGGCCAGAAGTCCAAATTCAGGGCACTGACATTAGAGGAAGGTCCTTCCATGTCTCTTTCAGCTTCTGGTAGCTGCCAGCAATGCTTGGCCTTCCTAGACTTACAGGTGGATCTGGCTCTGCCTTCACGTGGGATCACCCACTCTCTTTGGCTGTGTCTATTCTGCTCTTTTTGTAAGACACTACACAGAAGGGATTAGGTTTAGGACCCATCCTACTCTGGTATAAACTCACTAACATAAAGAAAAGCTTTATTTCCAAACAGGGTCATATTTACAGGTATAGGGGCTAGGACTTCAGCACAACTTTTCGGGGTGCACAATTTAATCCATAACTCCCTATGTTGACTTATCAGCCATTAGGGCTATGGAGCCCTGGTAATTTTGGATGTAGCTGTGAAAGAGGCAGTCTTGGTTCACCCTAAGAAATGTGACTATGGAAATAGAGGCTTACCCTGTTCAGGGTCAGTTGTCAATATTGATTGTAAGGTTTGAGTAGGTGAATTGAGGACTCGTAGTTGATAAGGATATTGCTTTCTTCATTTCCTGTGCTTCCTTCTTACCTGAAGTGAAAAAGATACTCTTCCTGCCATGTTTCCTGAGTGGTGGGTTCCTGTGGACTGTGTACACAATATGCAAATTGTCTTTGGACTCTGTAGCTGGCTGAGCCACCCACCCTTTCTGGCTTTCTCTGCCTGTCAGTGAAGCCAGGGTTCTTTTGATAAAGAAAGGGGTGGGCATTCATGGCTGGGATCGGGAGGCCCGCCTCTGTCAACGGTCATCCTTTATTAGAGCTGAAGTCATTGCCCTGAATTGGTGCTATAAAAAGCAGGAAGGATCTGCACCATTAAATCTCCACCTCGGCATCTGCCACACTTCCCCCTTTCTCCCCTTAGCTACCATCAATAACAGGACTCTCTGATCAGTGAAATTAGAAACTCCGGCTACCTTCACCCCTTTACTGAATTCTTGCTGCTTTCACTTTATGGTTTGACAAATCCTTAGGAGGAAATGTAGAAAAATTAGTTGTCAGGAGCACTAAAATCTCACTCCCATTTGTTCTGCAAATAAGCCCCAGAGCAGAAAGGTCTTTAGGTAATCAGCATGGCAGACTCCTTTGCACCCAGGGACCTTGGTTGTCAGTGCTCTAGAGTCAGCCGGGCATTTTCCCAAGGTAAAGAGATGCTAGGGTCTCACACATTCTTAAACTCAATTGAGGGAAGTTTACTAGTCAACAAGTGCCAACCCTGAGCTGGGCACTTTGCTGAGTTCTGAGAGTATTGGAGGGGACACCACAGACATAGTTCCTGCCCTGCTGATCCTGATGAGGTATGGGGATGAGAGGCAGACAGTCGGTTCCTCACTGTGAAGGGGGAGAGGAAGGTTGCTGTGGTCACTATGTACAGAGCATCCCAAAGAGACAAGCAGGCCACAGTGAGCTCGGCAAGGCCAAGAGGTGATTGGGTGTGTGTGTGTGTGTGTGTGTGTGCCTGTGCTGATGCACACAGGTGGAGAACCTCCATGTGATCATGGTGGCGCAGCAGGGAATTCCCCAGTTCATTCACCTGAGGAATGTCTGCACTTGTGGAGGAGAGTGTAACATCTAAGATCGGCTCATTGATCAGAATGCTAAGTCCCCTTATGAGCTCTGTTGCTTTGAGCAGTGAGAGAAGCATGCATTCACTAGTCCCACCAACTTATTGGAAATTTTGGTTTCGAGGAAGCTGGAGCAGGTAGGGCCTTGTTCCTCTGACAGGTGGTAGGCGTGTGGGCCCTGCATGCTGTCTGAGTGACCTCTTTCTTTCTGAGTCCCCTTTTTTTGGCTTGTTTGATATGAAATCGCTGGATGCGAGATCCGATTCATTTCCCATGTGGAAGCTGCACTGAGGACTTTCGTAGAGACACAGAACAAACCGACTCCACCTTTCTTTCTGTTGCGAGCCCTTCCACCTTGAATTAGAAGACGTGTTGGGAAGTGGGGGTAGGGACTGGTGTGCATTTCTTCAGCTATGCCCCTGAGAAGGGCAGCGACCCCACATAGCAAACTCTACCCTAAAGCCCCACAGCACAGAGAATGCAAACAGAATCAGATTAAAACACCATGCCCTCCAGCATACAAAGCCCAGGTCATGGATGATTTATGGAGTGATTATAACGGAAGAGTAATGACAGGAATGGTGACTTGGGCTTTTTGGGGAAAATTAAACATAAAAAACACCAGCCCTCATCTGAGAAACGGGCAAATCTGTAGAAAATGACTTGTTTTGATAAAATTTGAGAAGGCATTTAAAGAAAAAAAATGGAAACTTCAGACCTAGTTCAAAGTCAACATATTCTGGCTCCTCCTTAACTGTGATGTGGATGGGGGAGGATAATTTTACTTTGCACTTTTTTCTCTTTTACTTGTTTTTGTTCTTCCCAGGCAAGGTTAAATGACCTGAACAAGAGAGGAAGCCCCTTTTTTCTTTCTAGTTCCCCTCTGTAGCCTCATGCTTAGAAGTGTTTCTGTTCTCTTTGACACGGTTTCTTTTAAATCTTCATCAGTACAAGTACTAACTACAGAGACAGAAAATTGTAGCCACGTGACAGAGCTATTACGAAATCCTAAAGGTTCCACCAAAGAGCTGAAGGGTCTAGTCCAAAGCAGAGGACATTTATGGGCATGCCTGAGTACTTTTCCTTCTTTTCCCCTCCCCAATAGAAAGTCTGGAAAAGAAAAAAATTCTCAGGATTCCCAGTATGTTTGCACAGTTATTGACATCTTCAGATATTAGTATCCTGTCCTTTTATTTTATGCCTACATGTTTCACGCCTACATGTTTCACAGGCTCATGATTGCCATGTACACACTTGCCTATATGAAAACCACAATGGCTAATATTTCTCAAAATATTTAGTATGTGCCAGCCTGCAGTCTGAGTACTTTGTTTGTATTAATGCATTCATGACACAACAACCCTCCTTAATAGTTTGGGATCCCTGGTAATAGGTGAGGAAACTGAGGCACAGACTGGCCTCCCAGACAGACTGCAGAACCCAGTCCTTCAGCTCTTCTCTGATTGCAGCATCCCACACTGCCCAGCGTCCTCATGAATGGATTTTGTTTCTTGTTGATGGGTGGTTTTGCTCACATTTCTTTTTCTGGTGTGATTTTTTTAATAAGTTTTTGGAGGTGGGAATTTCATGTTGTTACACAAGAATGAATTCTGTAATAAATAAAACATACAGGGCTATCTGATAGCCAACACTCTTTAAAACAACTTACAAAACACTGACAAATACAGCAGGCCTCATATTAGTTGTGTCTCTTGTATCTTTGTAGGAGAGAAATAGAGGGGCCATTCATATTCTTTTAAAAAATGTTCATTTTATTTAATTTTTAAATTACCATACAGTAACATTGCCTTTTTTGTTCTCCTTTTTGGTATACAGTTCATGAATTTTAACACATGTATAAATTCATGTACCACCCCTACCACTGTCAGGATAAAGAACAGTTCCATCTCCAAAAAAGATCTTTCCTGATACTCCTTTATAATAGTAACACCCTCCACCCACTGCTAACCCCTGGCAACCACTGATCTGTTCTCCATCAGTATAGTTTTATCTTTATGAGAATGTTGTATGTACAGACTCATGTAGTGTATAACTTTTGTGACTAGCTTCTTTCACCTGATATTATGTGAGATTCATCTAAGATGTTGCATGTATCCGGAGTTTATTCTTTCTTATTTCATTGTATGCATGCACCACAATTTGTCTAACCATTCATCTGTTAAAGGCCATTGGACAGTTTCCAGTTTAGGGGTGTTGCACATAAAGCTACTATGAGCATTTGTGCACAGGTTTTTGTGTGAGCATACGTTTTCATTTTTCTGGAATAAATGACCAGAGTGTTATAACTGGTTCATTGATAGTTGCATGTTCAGTTTTATAAGAAACTCTCAAAACGTTTTTCTAGCGTGGCTTGTACCACTTTCCATTCCACCAGCAACATCATCAAGTGTCTGTAATTTTTGTTCTGTTTTGTTTTACCTTTCTGCTCATTCATCTTCGGTTCATGCCCAGAATGGCTGCAAGATGGAGGTAAAACTTCCAGGCATCACATCCTCACACACTAGCCTCCAGGAACAAAAGAGAGAAGTTTGTCTTTCTGTGTGTGTGTGTGTGCTTACTTTTTTTCCCCAGAATAGTGCAGTTTTAGAGTTTGGGGGGTGGGGACAGCTTTATTGGGATATAATTTACATGCCATGCAATTCACTCGTTTTAGTCAATTCACAGAGTTGTACATGCATCACCTCAATCAATTTTAGAACATTTCATCACCTCAGAAAAGAAACCTGTTTCCTTTAGCTGTCACTCCTCATTTCTCCCCAACCCCTCCTACCACCACACCCCGAATCTTGT